CGATACCAACCATCCGTCTGGTATAAAGCCCGAGGTTTGAGCATTTTGCTGTTGTTTTCCGCATTTTACATGAAATCTGTTGTTTTACGTTGTCAGTTGATAGAAGTAAACGAAATATTAATATCTAGCGAAATATTTTTTTTCATTATTGACATTACTGGTGAGTGTTTTTTTCATCGCGTAATACTGGACACAATTATTGCGTATGTACTTAACCCCTGACCGGGCCAACCAGTACTAGCTCACACGGGCGTTGCATGTGCAGACAATGGTCTCAGTCTACTTAAGGGGTCTGAGTACGCATGGCTGCATTAGTGCAAACGGTGAGACAGCTGTTTGTTTAAAACGATAAATTGAAAGGTTTTTGAGGGAAGCTTTTTGAGAACTTGTTGGGTATGTCCAAGTATGACAAGCTGTTTATGGTTGGCGATCCTCATAAAACAAGAGGCCATGTTAGATCTCTGACGTCATGCACCTGTATGCCAGTCAGTAATAGTAGCGAGTAGCAGAGCTGGAATTAAGTTTAATGACGACTTTCAGGCTACAGGAACAAGCAACCATGGGACAGCAATGAGAAACAAATGCGGATTTTGTGGGCAACATTTTAACGCAGAAGAGTGATCTTGTACGGCATGCGGTTGATGATGCGCAAGTGTGTTTAGGTTCATTGGTTTCACAATGCGGCGGTCTCGGAAACAGCAAAGAAGAATCAGTTAAGGGAAGAACAGGTGGGTTTCCGGCGTGGTCACTGTCGCGGAGCTCATATCTTCACTATGTGAGAGACAGTGGAGCATCCTCTTCTCGGCCAACAGTCGTGATCTTTTTGGACTTAAAGGCTGTCTTCTACTCGGTCACCTGACACGCTCACTAAGGCTTTCTCCATCACATAGTTGTCCTGATGAAACAGTCAATTTTTTGAAGTAGTTCTATGCCCTCCCTGAGTGCAAAATGAGTGGTGATGGACACCTATCTCAAGCGTTCTCCACTTCAAGTAGCGTTCAACCGAAGTGTTCGACCTCCTCATTATTTTTCAACTTTGCGATGGATGATATTCTGGAAGGGTTCCGAGGGTCTCAGTATGGAGTATCTACCGAGTAGTACGCTAACCGATACTGAGTACACGGAAGACATTGGTTATTCTGCAGAAAACACGCAGAACTTGCTGAACCGGTTAAATCATATGGCTGGTTTGTATTGTACGCACTGTGCATATTCAAGGATTTTAGATAACTGTTGTTACAAGATTGAGTCAGCTCTCACCCTGTCCGTTATTGTTAGGAGTCATCTGGAGACTGTCGATAGGTTCACCTATCTCGGTATTTTCATCTCGTCAGCCTGTAG